CAGACTCATATAATACTATGGTTCTGAAATTTTTAGTTCTATTTTTAACCACACAAATTAGACAATATTGCTTTGATTTATAAAGCCAATGTTTGCTATGTTCACCTGCAAGTTTTCTTTGCTCATCGTGGTGGACATTATGATGCACTGCCTGGATTCCCTTTCAGGAATGTGAACTTTTCCCACAGCTCCTGGGAATGCTGCCAGAAAGTGGCTCTTGGCTGCTGGCCCTCTTTGGGGATTGCTTTGTCTAAAGAATACTGTCTCATCTAAGGTCAAGGCTCCTTCCAGGGGCAGCCCACATCCAATGAGGGTAAAAAGGCCTGACCCTCTTGGCCCAATCCAAGTCAATTCCAAAGGATCACCCCATCTCCAGAGCTCCCTGTAGTAGCAGTGAAACCTTTGTTGGGTCTTCACTGAAGCTGGACTTCTCTGCCTAATAGTACTTCCTTCCTCTCCCTTCCTCATGTATTGATCCCAAGAATAGTCTCTAATAAACGTGTATGCTCGGAACTTTAACTAGGGAAATATTCCAAAGCCAGTATATAAAGAACTTTTCTTCAGAGAAGATTTCTGTTTGTTTCTGCTAGGTCCTTAGGGCACCCCAAACCCAAGGCACCATTAAACAACTTTTATATTGAGATTTTTTTTTTTTTTGGCAGTATGAATTCCAACTCCAAACCCACATGAGAATAGAATTGTGATGAGGAGAGATTCTTTTTGTTCACTTCATCCAAAGCCAAGGATGAAACAAACAGTGTCATTCTGAAGAGCAGGTTATTTTCCCATCACTAATAGAAGGTTTTATCCTTTGGGGATCCCAGCTTTTTACACTGCAGTGTCCAAACTTACCACTGAGTATGCCCATCAGAATTTGTCCCTTGCCCCATAGAAGCAGAAATACCTCCTTAATGCCCAGGTTCTGGGCCATGAGGGATCACAGGTGTCCTTGGGGATAAAATGGGTTCTAGGGCTCATTTATCCCTGTGGAACTGGGCTTTCTCATTACATACAGCCTCATACTTCCCCCCTTACTTTGCTTCCAACTCAGCCATGCCTTTCAAAATTTGCTTTAACATTTTATGCAGCATTTCTGTTCTTTACCAGAGGAGGTTTCTCTGAACATCTAATCTGTCATATTGCTTGCAACTGTAACAACTTTAGACATACTTAAGAGATACTAAATGCTTTAGACCAACCAGTTTTAATTACACACATAGAATGAGATTTATGCTTTAAAAAGGAAAGAGAGTTTATAACTTTCCATTCAGCTAAAGTTCTCAAAGCTACTCCATATTGTAAAGTTTATTCTTCTTCAATAGTAGAAAGTGAATATTATTTGGTTACTCATTAATTAAATACAGAGTTCACTAGCAGGATTCAGACAACAGAGTACCTGGTAAACAATCTGTAAACTGAGTAAGAAAAGCACACTATAGGGGTGTCTGGCTGGCTCAGGTGGTAGAGCATGTGACTCCTGATCTCAGGGTTATGAGTTCAAGCCCCATGTTGGGTGCAGAGATTTCTTAAAAGTGAAATCTTTAGGGGCACCTGGCTGGCTCAGTCGGTTGAGCATCCTAGTCTTGGTTTTGGCTGGGGTCATGATCTCAGGGCCCTGGGATCGAGTCCCGCATAGGACTCTCTGCTCAGTGGGGAGTCAGCTTCTCCCTCTCACTCTCCCTCTGTGCTCTTTCTCTCAAAAAATTAAATAAAATCTCTTTTAAAAAATAGCCCTTACTGGATTTGGAAAAATCATCATTTTGCAACCATCATAGTAAAGATTAATTTAGGCAAGAAGCATTAATACTAATCCAAAGGTAGAAATTTTGATGAGGAGTGGGATATCTGCACGGTCTTTTTTTTTTTTTTTTTTTTTTTTATAATTTTTTTTTAAAGATTTTTATTTATTTATTCATGAGAGACAGAGAGAGAGAGAGGCAGAGGGAGAAGCAGGCTCCCAAGGAGCAGAGAGCCCGATGCGGGACTCGATCCCAGGACCCTGGGATCATGACCTGAGCCGAAGGCAGACGCTTAACCATCTGAGCCACCCAGGCGCCCTATCTGCACGGTCTTAAAGTATCTCTTCCACAGATGGCTTGTAAGTTTCAAGAAAAAAAGGAGTAACTATATAAGAGAAACAGAATAACACTTGAATTGATGATTAAAATTAATATCACCCCTAAGAGGTAAGATGGACATCATGTGCCTCTGTATGTGAAGCCCGGAAGAAGACATGTCACTTAAGCAGTATTCGGTCCAGGAATGTATAACCTGAATCTCAACATAAGAAAACATCATTAAAGCCCCAAATGAAAAACATTCTATTTTTTATAGAGGGGGAAACCATTTTCCTTAAAAAATGTCAATGTCTTAAATGACAATGACACTTCTGGGTATATCCAAAATAACTAAAAGCAGGGTCCCTTGAGAAAATATCTGTACATCCATGCTCATAATGGCATCATTCACAATTGCCAAAAGGTGGAAGCCACCCAAATATCCATCAAAAGATAAACAAAATGTATATACATAAAATGGAATATAATTTGGCCTTAAAAAAAAAAAAGAAATTTTGACACACACTGAAACATGGATAAACACTGAGGACATCATGCTAAGTGAAATATGACAACCAATAAGAAAATAATGTATGATTCCTTTATAAGCGGTATCTGGAGTAGTCAAGTTCATAGAAACAGAAAGTAGAATGGTGGCTAAGGGGAAGGGTAAATGGGGAGTTATAGAGATTCAGTTTTCCCAGATGAAAAAATTCTGTAGATTGGTTGCATAACAATATGTGGTAGGGGAGACAAGTTAAAAACAAGATATGACTCAGTGGGATCAGTTCCATAACAAAAGCATACACTGAGTGTCATGGTCATACAAAAGAGAGATTATCTAACTCTTCCTGATTGATGGAGAAATAAGTAAAGCCAGAAATAATTTAGAATTACAAACAGTTTTGAATGAGTTTAGGTAAATATGCCAGAGTGGACATACACACTAACTTTTGCTTCCTCTTGGAAATACACTAAAATAATACTAAAACACTTTTTTAAAAAAGATATCAACCTGCAAGGACAACAACAAAACTTTGGAAAAATAGAAGACAGATGTACAAATAGTAATAGATTGAGCTAATGCAAAAAAGGCAGTCTTCTAATCTAAGTAAGAAAAGCGACTTTTAAGTTTACTCTGCAGAACCTTCAAGTGGCTCAGGACTTAGCTGCACCTCTGTAAGTAAGAGTTAAGATAGAGGCAAACACTAGAAAACACGATGAAAGTTTAGGTTAGTAAATTATGTGCCCAAACTCCCTTCGTCTATCTATGAAGCCAGAAGACTGCTTTACCCCCATCTGGGAAGAAGACTGGAACTTATGTTTTGTTTCTTCTGAAAGGGAACTACAGAGTATCTCTGGATTGAGGGACACTCAGCGTAGGTGAGGGTAGCACCAGACTCAAGGCAGGAACGTTCAGTTCTCAGAACATTGGTAGTCTAGATTATATCCAAGTGGAGATGGGAATATCCTGATGAAGGGAATATGACTAGCCCAAGTTAACAAAGATACTAAAGATGATAAAATAAATGGACCGGATGGATTTCGAGTTTCCAATCAGTTTTTTACTGCCTGACTCTGAGATTGAAGTTGTTTAATCAAGACTTACTAGACACTGAGGAAGATATGAAAGACAGAGACCAAAACAAGCAAACAAGAGGCTTAACAGGAACACAAAATTTGGAAATATTTATTTAGTGGAGATAGAATGTAAAATCATTGAGGGACATGATAGACCCTAGTGAATTTGACTGGAGCACAGTGAATAAATGTTGGCAGTAAGAGATGGCTAAAAAGGTATGCAAGGGCCAAACCATAAAGGACTTTGTACATCACACTGAAGAGTCTGTCTTCCGTAGGATCAGGCAATGGGGAGCTAATGAAGGATATAAAGGAAAATAACATGATCATGTTTACATTCTGACAAGGTTATTCAGATGGCTGAGACACATAGACTGGAGGGGGAAGAAATTATTGGCAGAGGGACAAAGAGGTTACTGAAGTAATTAAGACAAGGAATAATATAGGCCTGAATTAAGACTGGAGTAGATGAGATGAACATGAAAGATACTGAGAAGATACAATCGAGGGGCGCCTGGGTGGCTCAGTCGTTAAGCATCTGCCTTCAGCTCAGGTCATGATTCCAGGTCCTGGGATCGAGCCCCACATCGGGCTCCCTGCTCAGCGGGAAGCCTGCTTCTCCCTCTCCCACTTCCCCTGCTTGTATTCCCTCTCTCGCTGTGTCTTTCTCTGTCAAATAAATAAATAAAATCTTTAAAAATAAAAAAAAAAAGATACAATCGAAAGGGTTTAGGAACCAACTAGATATGTGAAATGGGGAAATGGGGGACAGGAAAGAATTAAAAATGCTACCAAAATTTTCACCTGGTCAAGTGAAGAGATGGCAACGGCATTCATGGAAATAAGAAATAATATAAAAAGAGATAGAAGTCTAATGGAAAACAATGAATTCTGAATTCTGTTTTAGATATGTCAAGTTTGAGGTGCTGGAGACAAAGTTATTCAGCAATCAGACTGAAATACGGGTCTAATGTTTAGGTAAGCAGGCTAGGTTAGATCTAGACATACAAATTTGGTTATCAATTAGATCACCCAAGGAGAGTATAAAGATTAGCAATTTTCAGTGTGTGTGTCTGCATGGAAAAGGGTGGCTGAGATTCAATGCCTTTGTTCATTAGAGAGCTACTGTTATCTATCCATTGTGGTGCCCCACAGACACATTCAGGGGAAATTTTAAGAAGTTAAGAATTACAGACTTAGGAGAGAAAAAGGTGGGGCTCAGAATGCTAAAGACCACTAACATTTAGAAGGCAAATGAAGAAAGAAAATATCTCAAAGGTGATCAAAGAAGTGAGGGGAAAAAGCAGGAGAAAGTGGTAACAAAGGAGTCAAAGTGAAACACATAAATATTTAGTTATCTACCTCTCATATACTATACCCTGTAGAAATAAGAAACACCCAAGGCATGGCTTTTGCTGTCAAGTAGTCCGCAATCTCACTGTTGAAAAAAGACCAACAAAAGAAAACAGGAGGGGAAAAAACAATATGGCAGTAAGTCAGCACTACATCCAATAAACCTGGTTTGCTTATTTCATAATTAAATTTTTATTGATCATTCTTTATACTCATCTTTTTTAATTTTTTATTTAAATTCCAGTTAGTTAACACACAGTGTAATATTAGTTTCACATGTAGAATTTAGTGATTAAACAATTCCATGTATTAGTGCTCATCACAATAGGTGTACTCTTAATCCCCATCACCTATTTCACCCATCCCCCCCACCATCCCTCTGATAACCATCAATTTGTTCTCTATAGTTAAGAGTGCTAGAACTGGAGCGCCTGGGTGGCTCAGATGGTTAAGCGTCTGCCTTCGGCTCAGGTCATGATCCCAGCATCCTGGGATCGAGCCCCGCATCGGGCTTCCTGCTCAGCGGGGAGCCTGCTTCTCCCTCTCCCTCTGCCTCTCTCCCTGCTCATACTCTCTCTCTCTCTCTCTCTCTGTGTCTCAAATGAATAAATAAAAAAATCTTTAAAAAAAAAAAAAAGAGTGCTAGAAGTGATACACGAGTTCAGTAAAGTCAGGACATTAAACCAATGTACAGAAATCTGTTGCATTTCTATACACCAATAATGAAGCAGCAGAAAGAGAAATCAAGGAATCAATCCCATTTATAACTGCACCAAAAACGATAAGATACCTAGGAATAAACCTAACCAAAGAGGCAAAATATCTGTACTCTGAAAACTATAAAACACTGATGAAAGAAACTGAAGAAGACACAAAGAAATGGAAAGACAATCCATGTTCGTGGATTGGAAGAACAAATATTGTTAAAATGTCTATATTACCCAAAGCAATCTACACATTTAATGCAACCTCTTATCAAAACACCAACAGAATTTTTCACAGAGCAGGAACAAACAATCCTACAATGTGTATGGAACCAGAAAAGACCCTATTCAGCCAAAGCAATCTTGAAAAAGAAAAGCAAAGCTGGAGGCATCACAATTCTGGATTCAAGTTGTATTACAAAGCTATAGTGATCAAAACAGTATGGTACTGGCACAAAAATAGACACATAGATCGATGGAACAGAATAGAAAACCCAGAAATGAACCCACAACTATATGGTCAGTTAATCTTCGACAAAGCAGGAAAGAATATCCAATGGAAAAAAGACAGTCTCTCAACAAATGGTGATGGGAAGACTGGATCACTTTCTTATACCAAACACAAAAATAAATTCAAAATGGATTAAAGACCTAAATGTGAGACAGGAAACCATTAAAATCCTAGAGGAGAACACAGGCAGTAACTTCTTTGACATTGGCTGTAACAACTTCTTTCTAGAGATGTCTCCTGAGGCAGGAGAGATAAAAGCAAAAATGAACTATTGGAACTTCATCAAAATAAAAAGTTTCTGCATGGCAAAGGAAACAATCAACAAAACTAAAAGGCAACTTACAGAATGGGAGAAAATATTTCCAAATGACATACCTGATAAAGGGTTAGTATCAAAATATATAAAGAACTTATGAAACTCAACACCCCCAAAACAAATAATCCAATTGAAAAATGGGTAGAAGACATAAGTAGACATTTTTCCAAAGAAGACACCCTGATGGTCAACAGACACATGAAAAGATGCTCAACATCACTGATCATCAGGGATATACAAATCAAAACTACAATGAGATATCACCTCATACCTGACAAAATGGCTAAAATCAACATAAGAAACAGCACGGGATGGCGAGAAAGGGGAACCCTTGTGCACTGTTGGTGGGAATGCAAACTGGTGTAGCCACTGTGGAAATCAGTATAGAAGTTCCTCAAAAAGTTAAAAATAGAACTACCCTACCATCCAGCAATCACACTAAGACATATTTACCCAAAGGATACAAAAATACTGATTTGAAAGGATACATTCACCCCGATGATTATAGCAATATTATCAACAATAGCCAAATTATGGAAACAGCCCAATGTCCTTCGACTGATGGATGGATAAAGAAGAGTGGTGTGTATATACACACACACACACAGACAGAATGGACAATTCCTGGGCCATGAAAAAAGAATGAAATCTTGCTGTTTGCAACAACATGGATGGAGCTAGAGAGTATAATGCTAAGTGAAATAAGTCAGTCAGAGAAAGACAAATACCATATAATTTCACTCGTGGAATTTAAGAAACAAAAGAGATGAACAAAGGGAAAAAAAGAAAGAGACAAACAACAAGAAAACTGCTTTTTATTTTGATGCTTTCAAGATTGCTTTGGCTATTCAGGGTCTTTTGTGATTCCATACACATTGTAGGATTGTTTGTTCTAGCTCTGTGAAAAATGCTGTTGGTGTTTTGATAAGAGGTTGCATTAAATGTGTAGATTGCTTTGGGTAATATAGACATTTTAACGATATTTGTTCTTCCAATCCACAAGCATGGAATGTCTTTCCATTTCTTTGTTCTTCCTCAGTTTCTTTCATCAGTGTTTTATAGTTTTCAGAGTACAGATATTTTGCCTCTTTGGTTAGGTTTATTCCTAGGTATCCTAACGTTTTTGGTGCAGTTGTAAATGGGATTGATTCCTTGATTTCTCTTTCTGCTGCTTCATTATTGGTATATAGAAATGCAACAGATTTCTGTACATTGATTTAGTATCCTGACTTCACTGAACTCGTGTATCAATTCTAGCAATTTTTGGGTGGAGTCTTTGGATTTTTTATTTGGAGTATTATGTCATCTGCAAATAGTGAAAGTTTGACTTCCCCACTGCTGATTTGGATGCCTTTTATTTCTTCATGTTGTCTGAATGCTGAGGCTAGGACTTCCAGTACTATGATAAATAACAGTGGTGACTGGACATCCCTGTCTTGCTCCTGACCATAAAGGAAAAGCTCTCAGGTTTTCCCCATTGAGGATATTAGCTATGGGTTTTTCATATATGACTTTTATTATGTTGGGGTATATTTCCTCTAAACCTATTTTATTGAGGGTTTTTTTATCATGAATGGATGTTGTACTTTGTCAAATGCTTTTTCTGCATCTATTGGGAAGATCATATGGTTCTTATCCTTTCTTTTATTAATGTGGTGTATCATGCTGATTGATTTGCAAATATTGAGCCACCCCTGCAGCCCAGGAATAAATCCCACTTGATCATGGTGAATGATACATTTAGCATACTGTTGGATTCGATTTGCTAGTATTTTATTGAGAATTTTTGCATCCATGTTCATCAGGGATATTGGCCTGTAGTTCTCTTTTTTAGTAGAGTCTTTATCTGGTTTTGGTATCAGGGTAATGCTGGCCTCATAGAATGAGTTTGGAAGTTTTCCTTCCATTTCTACTTTTTGGAATAGTTTGAGAAGAATAAATATTAACTCTTCTTTAAATGCTTGGTAGAATTCACCTGTGAAGGCATCTGACCCTAGACTTTTGTTGGGAGATTTTTTTATTACTGATTCAATTTCTTTGCTGGTTATTGGTCTGTTCAAGTTTCTATTTATTCCTGTATCAGTTTTGGTAGTTTATATGTTTGTAGCAATTTATCCATTTCTTCTAGGTTGTCCAAATTGTTGGCATATGGTTTTTCATAATATTCTCTTATAATTGTTTGTATTTCTGTGGTGTTGGTTATTTCTCCTCTCTCATTTGTGATTTTATTTATTTGGGTCTTTTTTCTTTTTGATATGTCTGGCTAGGGTTTATCAATTTTATTAATCTCTCAGAGAACTAGCTCCTGGTTTCATTGATCTGTTCTATTGTTTTTTCAGTTTCCATACCATTTACTTCTGCTTTATGTTCCTTCTTCTGCTGCCTTTAGGCTTCATTTGTTGTTCTTTTTCTAGCTTCTTTAGGTGTAAAGTTAGGTTGTTTGAGATTTTTCTTGCTTTGTGAGGTAGGCCTGTATTGCTATATACTTTCCTCCTGGGACTGCTTTTGCTGAATCCCAAAGGTTTTGGAACATTGTGTTTTCATTTTCATTTGTCTCCATGGTTTTTTTTTTTAATTTATTCTTTTATTTCCTGTGGACCCATTCATTGTTTAGTAGCATGATGTTTAACCATCATGTGTCTGTGGTCTATCCCGATTTTTTCTTGTGGTTGACTTCTAATTTCATAGCATTGTGGTCAGAAAATACACATGGTATGATCTCACTCTTCTTGCAACTTTTTGAGGCCTGATTTGTGACCTAGTATGTGATCTATTCTGGACTTGAAAAAAATGTATATTCTGCTGCTTTAGGATGGAATGTTCTGAATATATCTGTTAAGTCCATCTGGTCCAGCATGTCTTCAAAGCCATTGTTTCCTTGTTGATTTTCTGTTTAGATGATCTGTCCATTGATGTCAGTGGGGTGTTAAAGTCCCCTACTACTACTGTATTATTATCAATTAGTTCCTTTATGTTTGTTATTGTTTTATATATCTGAGTGCTCCCATGTTGGGGGCATAAATATTTACAATTGTTAGATCTTCTTGTTGGATAGTCCCTTTTATTATGACATAGTGCCCTTCTTCATCTCTTGTTAGTCTTTGGTTTAAAATTTAGTTTGTCTGATAGAAGTATTACTATTCCGGCTTTCTTCTGATATCCATTTGCATGATAAATGCTTCTCCATCCCCTTTCAATCTGCAGGTGTCTTTAGGTCTACAATGAGTCTCTTGTAGGCAGAGTACTGATGGGTCTTATTTTTTTTATTATGTTAATCACCATACATTATTACATCATTAGTTTTTGGTGTAGTGTTCCATGATCATTGTTTGTGTATAACACCCACTGCTCCATTCAGTACGTGCCCTCTTTAATACCCATCTCCAGGCTAACCCATCCCCCCACCCCCCGGGCCTTATTTTTTTATCCATTCTGACATCCTATGTCTTTTGGTTGGAGCATTTAGTCCATTTACATTCAGAGTAATTACTGATAGATATGTATTTAATGCCATTTTATTACTTGTTCTGTTGTTGTTTCTGGAGATTTGTTCT